AAATATGATCTTTTACAGTTTATGGAAAACCACAAAAACCAGCACAGATATGGCTAAGCTCTTATGCAAGAAATGGGCCAAAAGATGGCCAAAGCACAAAGTATGCTAAATATCCATCAAACAGCCAAAGGCCCTTAATTAAACATGAAGAATGGGCCAAAATAAGACTATCTTCAGTTCTGTAAAATGACCAAAAATGGAAGCATAATGGGCTGCCAAAGCATGCAAGAAAAAGGGACCAAAGAGGGGATATAACATGAAGTGGCATATGGAGGTCCCGAACCATGAAAGGCCCTAAATGAAACATGAATAATGGGCCAAAATAAGACTATTTTTAGTACTGTAAAAAGGCCAAAAACCGAAGCATAATATGTTTCCAAAACATGCAAAAATGTGACCCAAAAGAGAATATAAAGGCAAGTATATCATGGAGGTCCCAAACAGTGTTGAGCCCTTCTTCAATGTTGAAGAGGGACTCAAAATAAGCCTATTTTTAGTTCTGTAAAATGCCCAAAAATGGAAGCATAATGGGCTGCCAAAGCATGCAAGAAAATAGCATTCAAGGAAGGTATTGAAGCAAGTGCAAGGTGGGGGGCTCAAACAGGGTTGAGCCCTTAAGAAAAAGTGAAAAAGAGCTCAAAATAAGGCCACTTTCAGTTAGGGCCGGAGCTCAAAACAGTAAGAATATATGGTTAAGAAATGTTGCAAAAATAAGCTCAAAAAGGAGGAAATGGCAACTCACCCTTATAGACCAATCTTTGGTTGCTTCTTGGGCCAAGTTGCAGCACCTTTAGCCTCTGAGAAGCCCTCCTTGCTGCTGGAAATGGAGTGGTGGTGGTGGTGCTTGGTGGTGATGAAGGAATGGGGTAGAACTTAGGAGTTTTTGAGAAGATGAGAGAGATAGAGGGAGATTTGGATGCCTCTCCTTGAAACAATTTTTTCTAACCCCTAATCTAATGCTTGCAGCTGGTTATATGGACCAATAGGGGGAGCATGGAAGGAAAGGGTGGGGGAAAAGGACCAAGGCTTTCCCCCACAAAATATCCCCCGGATACAGATGTTTCTGGGGAACAACAGCTATACACCTGTAAAGTGCCAATTGCAAGGAACATGGCCGGCCACCTTTTGGAGCTGCAGGTGGCCGGCCGGCCACCCCCCCTAGCCGGCCGGCTAGGGGTCAAAAAGGTGAAGTTGAGTTAGTGGCCGGCCACCACAAAAAGATGGCCTCCCAGGTTCCCTCATCACAACCCTGTAGTTCGAATTTGGCAACTCTGAAACAGGAGAGAGAACAAGCCATTTTTAAGAGGGGTTCAAAAGGTTCAATTGGATTTTCTGGCCGGCCATATCATATTAGGATCCTCCCATGTGTGTACAACACAAATATGTGGTTTGGGGTTGAAGAAAGTGGCCCCAAGGTGTTCAACATTGGCTCGAAAGTGAGAAAAACGGGTGTCGGAGGGCGAAAATGGAATATAACTGGTTGCCAAGATAATTGCTGGCCTCCCACCCTTCAGTGACCTTCCTGGTGATGAAACAGAGGCACCTGCCAAAAATGAACGAAAATCGATGCAAAACGAATGCTCGGAGGCCAAAACACGCAGTTCGGGGTCCCAAAAATGGGCTGCTAAGCACCGAAAGTGGCGTTCGGCCACGAAGTGGGTTTCTCAGACCCCAGTGTCCCTTGAAAGGGAGAAAATAAGATGTATGTCAAAATTTAGAGCAAACGGAGATGGTTAAGCGGTCCCGAACCGAGGCACACGGCCAATGGTCCCGAAAAATCGGAAACCGGGCTCCGAAATGGGCAAAATGGCCTACGGCCACCAAATGTAGCCCACGGCCACTGAGAGATGGTCTACGGGACCTCTCCCTCCCCTCAGGAAAAGAAATAGAGAAAACCGAGTCTAGTTCGCAAATCGAGGCAAGGCACAGAAGAGGGTTTGGGAGTCCGAAGGCGGGGCTCACGGCCGCGACTCTGAGGCTTCTAAACGAGCA